GACAGTTCTGGGAAGTTGCGTTCGGGCAGTTCCCCGTTTGTACCTTCAATTCCGCCTGCCTTGCTCTTCTCCGTCCTGTTCCCTTGGCTTGGCAATTTCTGCTCCGGAAAAACTGCCCATTTCTTGACTTTCCATTTTGCTATTTTCACATCTTCAAATCTTCCCTCCGCTCCGGTTTCCCGAGTCTCTTCCACTCAACAACTTTCCGGACCGGCGACAATCAACTTCAAATCCCTAACCGTACCAGTGCCTGATTCGGAATAGGATCCTTGTCCGCAGAGACGAACGACCAAAAGTCGCCTTATTAGCTGAGCGGTCGACACGAGGCTCGTGCTTTCCAATTGTCAAGTCAGTCGCTGGTCGCCTGCCGCTGCTAATAATTATCGCCGATACATACCACCTCCTTGCAAACCCGCGGCGTTGCACCCTTATTACTTCAGCAAGCAAGGTTCCGAAACTTTTTTTTGGCCGCCAACTCTTCCAGCTTGACCTCATCTCACACTGCTACCGCTGCCCCCTCGTCAGCCCGTGTGGCACCTTTTTTAGTTACCCGTCAACCCGATTCAGATTCCACAAACCTGCACACACGACCACAAAGCTTCGCCCTCTGAGGCTGCCATCACCACCCCCCAATTTCTTCCCTCAGCCTTTGTGCGCCGTTCGACCGTCCCTTGGAGAGATGGCTTCCAACACGGGCAAGGCTGGAGTAATCGTCGCTCCCGACGATGCTGGCAGCATGGAGAATCTTGTAAGTGCTGGCCCTGCCTCGAACTTGGCGGATGGTGCACCCAGCCATCTCGATCGCAAATTAACACCACCGCGATATGCCGCCGGTGGGATGACATGATGCTGACAATTTCGGCGCGAAGGCTCATTCGGTGCTCGACGACTTAATGTACAATATCGTTCACGACCTCCTGCTCAAGGTGCACCGCGACGAGAAAATGGCGAGGGCCACCACGGCCGCGATCCGTGTCGAGAAGCTGGCTTCCGATGCATCAGAAAGCTCGACGCCTGACTCGAAACCCGATGTGCGGATCGAAACCGATGCGGCGATATACGAAGACGGCAAGGTGATGCTCAAAGGCAATCCCTTGAAGACAACGACCGAGATCCTCTGCCCGAGATGCCACCTGCCTCGATTGCTCTACCCGACCGACGGCAAGGGGGCGAGAAAGCCCGATCCGAGCGTCATCTACTGCAAGAAACACCCTTACATCGACAAGCCTGGCTACGACATCTACGGCCAGACCTGGGTTCAGCCGGGCCCTGGAAGAGGCAAGAAGAAGAAGGACATGAAGCCTGACCCGAATATCGAGTCTCCCGCCCCTGGAGAAGGGCGCCCTGCTAATGTGCTTTCGTTCCCGTCAGCCACATGCAGCAAGTGCAAGCGATGCATCCTCGTCACGAGACTCAACAACCACATGGGATCGTGTATCGGCAACAGCGGCCGTAACGCGAGTCGCGCTGCGGCAGCCAAGATTTCAAACGGCAGCAACGGCGCAAGCCAGAACGACGGAACACCCCCATCGAGCCAGAAGGCGACACCAGCGCCTGCATCACGAGCCTCGAGCCCAAAGAAGCGCGACAGTGAGGAAGTGGCGGCACCGGAGGAAGAGGAGGAATCGGAAAACAGCCATAAGAAGAAGAAGATGAAGCCAACGGTCATGACGAAGAAGGTGATTCTCAAGACTAAGGGCCCCAAGAAAGACAAGGTCAAGACCAACTCACTGCTGAGCCACGAATCGAAGGCGGGCGACGACGATGACAATTCCACTGTCGAGGTTGCCCCTAAGAAGGAGAAGAAGGAGTCTAAGGAGGGCAAAGGCATCAACCCGGCTAAGAAGTTGAAGCTTGGCGCCGCGAAGCCGCCCTTATCGTCGCCGCTGTCGAAGAATGGCAATGGTAGAACCGAAGATGCAGAGTCCGAATCGTCCGGCACGTTGTCATCGCCGCCAAACTAGAGGCTTGGCGGCACAACTGGCCGCGGAGCGCTGAAAACCCCCAGCTCCGGCTCCGGCTCAGGCTTCCAGCAAAGCTCTGGCTTTGCTACCGTATCGGAACCTGAGTCTCAGTCTGTTCCAAGAAGCAATCCTCCAACTGATTCCGGTAAACGCCATCTGCCGCCGACACCTCCGCCTGGACCTGCTTCGTCACCGTCTATTTCGAACACCAATAAGATATCGAAGAGAACGTTCGATGAATCTGCTACTAAGGGTCAAAAGAGACCCCCAGACAAGATCAACGACCAGTCCAAGAAGAGACGCTGCTCGTAACAACCATTTAACATCTACATTATCCCTTTATTCTCTTCAACATGCCCGGCCTGGTTGAGTATCGAACCAGAAACAAGACATCACTCATCCCGGAACATTGGAAACACCGGAGCCAAAAGCAGATCAGGGAACTGATCAACTGTCGGGTTCCAGACCGACACATCATCTTGTATTCAAACAAAGATTGGCACCGCAGTACAACAGACGCTCTTGATACACACACACCTTCACACTCAACAACATTGCATGAACTGGGAGTTCGCTGGGTAGGAGTGGTGGTGGCTTATCCCATACAATTCTTCTGCATCACCTGGAAAGGCGGATGACGGCGTTCAAGAGACTGCGGTTATTTTAAAGGCATTGACTCAATGATATTGATTCCCCATTGATTACGCGTAACTTGAGTCTACTGATGGAAGTGATGACTTGTTGCAAAAAGGGGGCAGCCGCTTCTAGAAATGTCGTAAATGATCGAAGAAACACGCTGACTAGTCGACAACATCCTGCGTCGTAGCTTCCCGGGATTGAGACAATACTCTGCTAGATAGGTCAAAATATGCTGAGGACTTCTATTGGAGAAGACACTGAGGTGACGCTGTCTTCATCCCCCTTTTTTTATGAATCATTTGGTGAATGGTGAGATCAGATTGAGCTGCCTAATATCCGCTGCGGGTGGATAACCAAGTGAAGGTGCCGAGTTCTCTTTGACGCAGTGAGGAAGGAGCAGCCCAAGAGGGCCGGGCCGCCTCACAGCGCAAGGCGGCAGGAAGGCTTATCAGTTGCACAATGCCTGGCTGCTACCGTTGAGGTCGGTGGTCGAACGGTTGTTCGACTTCCTTCTGAGGCTACTCGGCCTTCCCAGCGTGGGACTTCAATCCTTCGAATTTACCGTCTGCCCTTGGGTCTAATGCGTTGGGTCGCTCGTTTTGTCATTTTGACTTTATTTCGTCGTCGTTTTTGGTATTCCACTCTTTTTTTCTTCTTTTATTCAATAAGAGCAGGAAATCTTATATGCTACCAATTCTATGCTGCCTAACGTGTGTCACGATGCTTTTTATATCCTCAGGCGCCTGAAGCAGTCTAGATTCGCAACCGCCAACGCCATAAACGCCCGTTTCTCCAAAGGTATCTCAATATCTATCCGCGCGCGCGTATTCTCCTCCATCACTCCTCCGGCTCACCCTCCTCAACGACACTCGCCCGGACGATCTTGACCTCCTGCAGCGGCCTGTCCTCGGGGCCTGTCTTCACCAGCCCCATCCTCTTGACGACGCTCAGGCCGCTCTTGACGCGGCCGAAGATGGTGTGCTTGCCGTCGAGCCAGGGGGTCGGGGCGAGGGTGATGAAGAACTGGGAGCCGTTGGTGTCGGGGCCGGCGTTGGCCATGGAGAGGACGCCGGCGCCGGTGTGCTTGAGGCCCGGGTGGATCTCGTCGGCGAACTTTTCGCCGTAGATGGAGGTGCCGCCGCGGCCGGTGCCGGTGGGGTCGCCGGCCTGGACCATGAAGTTGGGGATGATGCGGTGGATGATGGTCGAGTTGTAATAGCCGCGCTTGGCGAGGGTGGCGAAGTTCGTGCAGGTCTTGGGGGCGTGGGAGGTGTAGAGCTCGAGGATGATGGTGCCCTACCGTTTGGGATTTTGGTTAGCTTGGTTGCGGGTTTGCGCAAGAGGAAAGACAGGGAGTGGACTTACCATTGAGGTTTCGAGGGACACGTTGGTCGTCATGATGGCTTTCTTTGCGCTGTCGCGACTTGTTTGTGCCAGCTAGAAGATGGGAATTCGCGATGGAGGGGTTGTCGGAATCGTGGACGAGGCTGCGATGTAGCGGCCCGCGACGCGGTGAAAGCAAGCAAGCAGCAGCGATTGAGTTGGGACGATGGTGGGGAGCTTAAGCCAGCCACCCGCCTGCCGCCGAAGAAAATCAGGCAGTTACGGTGCGTGATTGGTCGCGCAGGTCAGGTTAGCGGGATCTGGGCCGCTGTGGAGATGGGCCCCGGGTCCCTGTCGTGGTACCTACCTTGCGGCGCGCTGGTTTCTGGCCAGATCCTGCATCATTTGCTGGATGTGCCTGCCTGCCGAGCTGTCTGAGTGTGAGGCTAAGCGCATCTTTGGCAAGTGACTTCAACTCTTGTTCCTGCAAGTTGCAACGCTCGTCCATCCCTCTCGCAGCCTCCAAAACTGGACGGATCTTTTTCTGTGGAAGTCCGGCTCTCTCTTTTTCCAGAAGGACCGGGTCCGGCAAGGTGTCTCTGGTACCGGTGTGGCGTATCCTTTCCCGCTTCGAGCCTTTTACGCTTCGAGCCTTTTACGCTTCGAGCCTTTTACGCTTCGAGCCTTTTAACAAGGTTCCAACTTTCGCATTATTGGTAACACGCTGTTCAAGACAACTTCTATTGTGCGCGCGACACCCAGAGCTGCAAGGTGGCTTCTCAGATCTTCTGCAGCAAATATCATTCACGAACAAGATAGCTTCAGAGAAGCTTAAAAGAGAGACTTTGGGACCAGTTTCCGGACTGAATAATCAGGCGTCATCGTACCTTCCTACCAACTACACTTGCCACATCCAGATCTCCATCAGCTTCATCACGTACACGAAACATCACGAGCGTGCTTATTCAGGCCGTCAACAGCATCTCAGCAGCTTCCAACCACGAATTCTACCGTATTCGTCTGTGACCGCCCCGAGTCATCGTACCCTAGGAGCCCATTCGTCCGGCCGGCGCCATGGCTTCATCAGCGGTCCCCAGTCCGGTGACCCCGCCATTCGACGAAATCTCCCAGAACCTCACCAACATCACTGGCGCCAGCAACGCCACGGCCGGCGCATCACCAGAATGGGATCTCGCCAGGGTCGCCAGTCTCCTCACGATGGAAGGAAAACTCATCTTCTCCGCCCTCGCCATCATCTATGTCGGCGCGCACGGTGCTCTCCGCCGTCCCCCGTCCGCAGCTCCCCCGAAGCGGAAGACGGGCGAGAAGGCTGACCGCAAGGAGGACGAGCCCATTACGGAGGGATTGATGCCCTCTGACGCCATCGTCTTCCCTCTGTTGGCAGGCGCCATGTTGATCGGACTCTACTACCTCATCCAGTGGCTCCAGGACCCGGCTATCCTCAACAAGATCCTGCGCGTGTACATGTCCGTCGCGGGTGTGGCAAGTCTCACGACTCTGATGGCGCATGCGTTGAGAGTTGGCTCGGGTTTTGTGTTTCCGAACTGGGTTCGAGAGAAGGGTGTATTGTGCCGGGTTGACGATGACCGGGAGACATATGTCAAAACCAACGGCAATGACGGCGAAGAGACGGAGGTTATGACGACCGGCAACCCCCTGCCATCCGCTCTGCGCAAGATCTTCCCCATCACAGCAAAGGTAAACCGCCTCCTCTGGGATGTCCGCCATCTCCTGATCGACGAATGGACCGTCAAGGCCAAGGTGCATGGCTTGTTTAGGGAGAAATTTCACCTGTCCGTCACGCACATTCTCGGTTTCTTCCTGGCTTTCGGCACGGTGTCGGCGTACTACATGACCGGATCCCCTTTTCTCTCCAACATCATGGGTTATGGCTTCTGCTACGGCACGGCTCTGATCATGTCGCCGACGACATTTGGCACTGGCAGCTTGGTGTTGATGGGCCTCTTCTTCTACGACATTGTCATGGTATTCTACACGTAAGTTACCCCAAGCTCTGATATGCGTCGAACATCTGCTGACAGCCAACAGGCCCTACATGATTACTGTCGCCACCAAGCTCGATGTCCCCATCAAGCTCCAGTTCCAGTCCGCTTCTAGATCAAGCATTCTTGGCCTCGGTGACATTGTCGTCCCCGGCATGGTGATGTGCCTGGCGCTGCGCTTTGATATGTGGATGCACTATCAGCGCCAGATCAAGTACGTCCCCACCGACTTGAAGTCGCACAAGCAGGACACCATGTCTGGCGATGTCGTCACCGTCAGTGAGACTCAGCACGTTGCGCAGAAGGCCCTCTGGATTGACATCACTGGCTGCTGGGGCGACTGGTTCTGGTCTTCCTCGTGGAGTGGCCTTTTCAAGGGCGATAAGGAGGTCGCCCCTACTGTCCGCGGTTCGACATTCAACAAGACTTACTTCAACGCTTCCTTGATCGGCTACGCCCTCGGCATGCTCTTCACCCTCGCCATGTTGACCATCTTCAAGCACGGCCAACCCGCCCTGCTGTACCTCGTTCCAGGCGTCCTCGGGTCTCTCTGGCTGACGGGCTTGGTTCGTGGCGAACTTAAGGAGATGTGGATGTACACCGAGGACGGAAGCCTGGACACTCGGGACGTTGTTGTTGAGCTCGACGGCAACGGTAACGTTCTCAAGGAGATCAAGGATGACGAGAAGGATGAGAAGAAGCGCAAGGCCGAGGAGGAAGCGAAGCGGAAGATTGAGGAGGAGAAGGCCGCGGAGGAGAAGAAGCTGGCTGACAGACAGGAGGCGGAGAGGGATGCTGAGAGAAAGGAGTATAGCATCGTCTCGTTCTCGGTCACTGCTCCCCTTAGGAAGGTGAAGAGTCATTAGTTCGGTACGGGAGCTCAAATCTCCGGATGTTGCATGGAGTTTATCGCATAGATAGGGAGGGGTTTAGAGGTATAAACATAATTATCTGACTGCAGGCGCAGAACGGTTATTATGAAGCGTACTACATTTTGTCGCCTGTCCCCGATATCTATTGCGCTATCCAACTCCTTAGTTGAAGTGATTATCATTTCTATCATTGCTATTGTCCACCTCGTCGTGGACGTTGTCGCCATAGTCGTCGTGGCCGTGGTCGTCGTCCTCGTCCTCGTCGTCCTCGTCGTCCTCATCGTTATCATATACTGTCTGCTACTGGCTACTGTTCTTGACCAATGTGAAATTGTTCATGTACCTAAAGAACGAAAAGGGGACGTACCTGCGCAGATAATAGAAGGAGAGAATACAGAGAACAAGCGCGGCGACAAATGCAGCGCCGACCCTAAAGAAGCAATGGCAGGCCCATGAATCAGTGCTATCTTTATCTTCGTTTACCTATGACCCAAGTCTGTTCTGTGGACTGTAGTGCCACATTACTATGACAGCTTGGATCTCAGCTTGAATTCTTATTCTTTTGTTCTTCGTCTCGTCATTGAATGGGCGGTGCCATATGTTAGAGAGACTGGGTAACTGACGCTACCTCATCGTACCTGTTCGATCTCTCGACCGCGGAGGAAGGGGAGCTTCGTGGTCTCACGGGCAGGAGTCAAGGCTTAATCGGATAGGTCTGTGTTTTCTTATCCCAGGCCGATATCAACCGGACTTACATCTGTATTGTCCTCAGCCTAAAAGTTTGGAGGGAGCGAATCGAGAATGTCGATATCGTTGGGATTCGTATCTACATGCCATGAGCACATGGAATCCACTTCCAGAGTTAGTAATCCGAGCGTACCTCGTGTAGTAAAGACCCGGGCATCTTTTCAGCATCATCCATTGAAGTGTGGGCTCAGATTTTCAAGTCAGTCCGCCGGCTGCTGCTGAATCTGGCAGGGCTTCTGGGCCTTAAACATGCTAGGAAAGACCGGCCAATGAAGCGGGAAGGTGCTATACTGGCAGCCATTAGGTCACCTTCCCTTGACGTTCAAAGTTGACCTAGGTAAGAAGGTGTGCCTGCCATTGAGGAAAGAAGTCCCCCGTGGTGACTTCCGCGGCAAGAGAAATGGGAGACCAAGGGGCACAAAACTCTTGCTGGTCGGTGGGAGCCTTTCCTGTTCTTCTTTTCTTCTTCACGACATCCTAAACCGCCATGGCTCAACTTTCAAAGATTTCTCGCCTGGCCACCGGCATGGGTGTGTTCCTCTGTTTTTGTACCGCATGGACTTTACCTATTACGGGGGTTTCTGTCTTGGCCAGTCGCGTCAGCGGAGACAAGTCTTCCTTCAGTTCCTGGCTTGTGTTCCATCTGGAACTTTCCTTGGCCTTCGCGGTCCTTGCCATGAAGTGGGAACTGGGGAACTTGTTGATGAGGCTGTACCTGGACAGTCAAGACGAGCCGATATGCGGGAACGAAGAAGGGCGGGTTGTCAAAGCGTTCTGTCATATACCCAATGGACTTCGCCGTTGGATCCTTGGGTCCGGCGGCGTGCCGGAGGGTGATGGTTCGCTGCGAGCTGTCTGATCGATGAAGCAATCGCCTAGTGTTGCTGAGTGGACGGTGACCCAACTTTGCGCGGATTCGTTGTGACAAAAGCAGAGAGGGGTGTCGTCACTCGGTGGGCAGGAGGTCAATGGGTGGGCTTGGGGTACCAAAAACAAATATCGACGTAAGTCAAGCAACTCATTTGCCCGCCAAGTACTAACGCATGTCAAAGACATCATGGGCGGCGGTTCGCGTCGTTCCCGTCTCGCTCAGTTCCTCGGCCACGGCGCTTTCGCGACTTCCCCTATCCCACAACATGCCGGTCGCCAGTCAGGAACGACAAGGACGATAGTGACGACAGCGATAAGAAAATATCGACGTACGTGGAGCGAATGCTTTGCTCTTTAATTGCTGACACATTTCGCAGACATCATGGGTGCGTGACACTGGCTTTCCCAGTATCTCTCCTACAACGGGATGCACTACTTCGACAACGTCTTGGATCTCGTGTTCTTCTCGACTCTCCTGAACGTCTCCCAACAGCTTCACCCCCTACTTCATCCCAATACAATGTCCGCGGCGACGGAGTCTACCCGCCCTCTTGTGGCTATGTCTTCAGACACCCCCGGAACGCCAGCAACGACTTCACCACCCCCCTGACCTTCAGCTACCCGGCCTCAGCCCCAACCACCCAGCTACCGCAACATTTGGGGTCTCGCTATTCTGCGCAGCTTGCCTGGCCTTGGGGCTTGCGGCAATTCTCCCGCATGATGACGGACAACTACCTCGTTGCTTCTGCTCGGCTTGCCAGATCTTGGCCACCCTGATGATGAACCACTACCACAATGCGTCCAACTCCTGGCTCAAAGACAGCGAATCATTGCTATTTATACACAACAAGCGCAATACACATGGAAACATGATTAACGACAATTGTCGACGGCGATGAAAGACCACATCCATCCTCAGCCCGACACTGTCCAAGGCCGACACTTCGGCCTCTAGGCGACAATCTCCAATCTCCAGAGGCACCGCGCAACAAATGTATTATCTTAAGGCCCGGATCTCGCATGAACACAGTGAAAGATGAAGTTGCAAGAAGACTTCTTTGGGATACATTTCGAGTACGTGTAATCAAACCTTGTCTCTCAAGCATGAACAGCGACTGATTGCCGGTGTAGTTTTGAATAAAATTTGGTTACTGCTGTGGAACAGCACTGTGGAAAATTCAGAGGTTGGGAAGGAAGTTGAGAGAAATTCACTGCCGGGATTGAATGTACGAGTTGAGTGTTCCGGGATAAATGGACCAAAGTCCTGTTCAGCAGCAATCCACATGCATTGCTTCTTCTCGACAATGGTTCTTAAACAGCTTGTGTTCTACTAGGAATATTCACACTCCGCTTACTTGGAATCCCCCGCCTCCTGCCCTGACGCAGAGGCTTGACTGAGACCTTCGCAATCCATCGCAGTCGGTGCTATGTGCCTGCCGTACCATTCCTCAGCCGAAGATACCCCATTCCCGTCAAGTGCGCGAGGCAACAGAAATGCACAGCAGTCTCCTGAAAGCCTGAATGCCCAGTAAAGTATAATCGCAACATACACAATCCAGAACATCTTAGCTTCCGAGCGCACATACCTCCAATCCAGACAAGTCCGGGTGGTTGCCGTATCCTTGGGTGACGCAAATTGTGCAGTTCCGCACAAAAATGGAGTGCGTTTGTCACTGCATCCTGCCGAAGGGACAGGTTCTTGGCGGAGAACTTCAAGTGCACATACGTAGTGTGCTTCTTCTACCAACTTAAAAGGTAGACAGAAAAGCTTGGGCTCTTTGGATCTTCTGTCAGAGAACTGGGTCACAACCTCGTAGTACATTCGTGCGAACGTGCGAAGCTCGTCATGCTCTTCTGGTAATATTGTTCCCAGCTGATGTGAGTCTGATGGAACTCGGGCGCCTAGCCTGCGTAGAATCTGCCGAGCATAGAGCTCTATATCAGGCACAAGTTTGTGGTGTCGGTTGGCAAACGAGCAAATGATCTCGAAAAGCCAACGTATTGGAGGGTACTGTTCAGAGGGATACGTATAGGCGGGCAGTTGCTTTCGGACGATGCAGCCGGCGAGAGCGAGAGCAGGCCGCGCTGTAATCGTCCATAGTGCCACAAGAAGAACCCTGGTCGACAGAGGGACGGCGCTAAACACGAAGTTGTTGAAAGGAATAAGGAAGGCGGTATGCTGGAAGTCGACGAAGTGACCGCTGCTGAAGTCTCCACGAGACAGACCGATAACGCAGTCTATAGGAAGAAAGACGACGAAGGTGACCACAGCTGTTGTCGCATAGAATAGAAGGGCATAGACGAGCCATTCTGCGAAGAAGCTGCGACAGAAACGAGACACAGAGCGCGCAGTGGCTTTTGATGACCTCCATTGAGGAGCAGGAAAGCGTTCCTCAGGCGGCATGGTTGATTGACGCGGCTTTTGCTCCATGGCGCAGTTGTACTCAAGGACCAACAATCGGCCAGAAAGGCTTGGTGATATACAATAGGTGTCAGATCTTAGAGTGAAAGTCTGCGCTCTGCGGAGGGCGCCGTGAGCAATTGGAAATCAAGAAGGTGCGAAGCGTTTGTGAGGTTGATTCTCGGAAAGTCTCGTCTCTGTTTTTAGCGACCCTTGCGGTTCGACGCCACCATTGAAGCCAAGAGCAGACTAGATGGCATCAGGATTCGCCCAGAAGTTGAAATTACAGGAAACTCGTGGAAGTTTCGGATACTTTAATCATGAGAGTCTTCAATTTGATCTACAGTGGTGTTTTCCTGGTCATACTTCTACAGTCCGTAGACTCCATTCTCGTCGAAGAACACCAAGAGTGCCTCGCTACCCCTGACATCCACCGTTCCGTCGACTTTCTCGATAACCATATCTCCTACTGGCTGGCCTTGAGGGAATGACTGGCCACCGAATGTTGCCAGGTTGGTGTCGCCGGTGTTCACATAGGGCGCTGTCATGCGCTTCGCATGGATGCTCTCCCCCTTTGCAGCATCCGCAAGAGAAGTCACATCAACGCTGACAGAGAAGTCGGAGGTGGAGTTGGCATAATAAGGCTTCAAGTTGACGAGTGCAATCTTGGAGATGGCATCGTCAACGTAGAAAGCATAAGCGGCGAAGCTCTCGGGGTTAACGCCAGAAGGCGCGTCCAGAGCGCGAACCTGCGTCCCCTCAACGGCGAACGCCTCGGCCATGAACAGCTGGGCCAGGAACGACGGCAGCGCGCGTGCTGGGCCGCGCTTGAGGCTGTCGCGCGGGTAGAGCATCGAGTACGTGCTGTACCCAGGGCTGCCGTTTTCGCCGGGCGTGTTGCTCTGATCGCTAGACTGGAGCACCAGCGTGGCGCCCATGTGCAGGTGCGTCGCGGACGCGTTGCGCGTGGCGTAGATGAGCTCGCTGTCGACGACCCAGAGGGCCTGCGCGAAGGTGTCGGTGACGTTGGGCTTGCCGGAGCACGAGACGGAGTTGAACTCGCCAATGTTCCAGCTCTTGCCGACGTCGAGCGCCGCGCGGGCGGAGGGGTAGATCTCCTCATCGCAGTAGCGCACGAGCTCCGTGTGGTTGAGGATGTTCTCGATCGTCGCGCGCACGTTGCGGGCCGGATCGCAGGTCGAGAAGGGGTACGAGTGGATCGAGTAGACGCCGACCTGGTGCTCGGAGTCGACGCCGGCGGGGATGAGGGCGATCGGCCGGACCTCGAGGCCCGAGTCGTCGGTGGTCGCGGAGGACGCCCACCAGCGCTCGCTGGTGAGGTTGTTGGTGCCGGTCTCGTTGACGGCGGCGTCGATGGCGTGGGTGTACTCTTTCCACTGGTCGACGTACGCTTGCGTTGAGTAGTTCCAGCGCGTGGAGGCGTAGTTGGTCGGTTCGTTGCCCAGTTCAAAGTACGAGATCTTGTCGCCTTGATACTTGGTGGATGCCACCGCGAGGTCCCTCGCGATGTCCAGGCTCTCGTTGCCAAAGTTGAGCGTCGATATGAACTTCGTGCCCTCGGGGAAGTTGTCCCAGCTCTTGTAGTAGTTCGGACCTACCGTCGTCCGCCACACGCCGCCTTCGGGGCTGGTAGTCCGAACGGAGTCGGGGCCTTCCGGGTCGAAGATCATGCTGTCCATAGTGATGCCGCCAGGACGGATGACGGGGTGTCCTCCATGCTCGTGGATGCGGTCGAGGAGGCCAAAGGTGAGGTTGTTCGGGGTCGTGGAGTTGCCAAAGAACTCGACCCAGAAGGCGGGCTCAAACGAGAATGAGGCGAAGGAGTTGGTGTGAGGGATTGAAGCTCCTGCGGCTGTTCTCGGCACGTTCAGGGTTGAGGCGCTCGAAGTCGAGCTTGCCGGAAGAGCGTGGGCTGCGCGAGCGGCGAGCAAGGCCGTGGCACTCCAGAGAAGACCCATGATGACAGGCTACTGTGTTTCGAGGGCGGAAGAGAAACCTTAGACGTGGAAAGACTGTTCAGGTGCATGGAGCCGCCTGATAGCGCTCTTATATCATGGCTGTATGTTGCCACGGACGGACGAGATTGCACCGACAAGACGGAAAATGACGATGCCATGGTGCCGGGTCAACCTGAATGGACTCGCTAGTGTCCTCTGATCCTTCTGAGTGCAGAAAGTGACCCTGTCAAGGTTCATGGCATCATGGGCAAGCCACTTGCCAAGGGATGTCACCTTTTCAAAGCCAATTCAAGATGATTGAAGACCATGATTGGCGCGCCAGAGGTCATCGCGGGGAAGCGGGGAAAGCTCACCCCACCGACCCCAGATCGCGCACAACGTTGATGCGGGGATCTCGGCTCCGAGCTTCCGAAGAGACTGTTGATAATGAGCTAGCTGGTAAAGATTGTACAAATACGAGACTAAGAGACGATGTGGGCTGTCATAGGCCGCAGCTGACTCTGGGCGCGGTGTCTGCCATGTGCTTTCTGGGTCGGTTCAAGGTTTAGCTGTCTCGAAACCCTCTTACAAGCTCTCGTCGCTGTCTTCCAAGCCCTCATTCGACGTCTCCTTCAACTTGCGGTGACAGGCCGCGTACAATCTGATGTAGAACTCATCCCGAGCCACCTTTGCTTCAGAGTTCCAGTGTTCATCTCCGACTGAATCTCGAAGCGCAGGGGTTGACCTCTCTTTCCAAGCCGAATAGGCACGAGCCGCGCTTTCTCGCCATGACTGCCCTGAAAGTTGCGGAAAATACTGTTCGAGCGTTGATATGTTACGAGTGACTCCAAACTGTGGCACAACCATGTCCCATGTCTTCATTTCCCACCGTACCATGGCTTCGATGTCCGACTTCTGTCTCGCAGGAAACACTTCCCGCGGTTTCCTATCGACGAAAAGAGTGACTATACAGTCGATTGCCTGCTCCAGATGACTACACCCAGTCGAGCTCTGCTGGCATGGCTCGTATTTGGGTCTGTAGTCCGGTTGATCTTGCAACGTCAGGTGTGACTCGCTTCCGCTTTCATGACTGTCGCTATAGTTCTCATCGTCGCTTTCGTTCTTTTCGTCCTCGTCGTCTTTATCATCCTTCTCACTATCACCTTTATCGTCCTTGGTCTCCGAGTCGACTATCATACTTGTCTCAGCCCCGGTCTGCTCGGCGATTGTCTTTTCATTACCAAGCTCTTCATCGTTTGTTTCTTGCCGCAAAAGATTCCCAGGATCATGGAGTACCAAACCATCAATCTCTTTCTCTGGTATGAAGACGCGTGAAACAGGTTTCCCAACCTTAGCAACCGGGAACTTCTGTTCCATAAACGCGAAAACAGGAGGTAGCCGCAGAAGCCTCGTAGTCATTCCGTCTGCAAGACGGACGGGCTTGCCATCTTTGTCTTTGAGAGTAGGGTTCTCATCTCCGTCAAGGGGTAATGACGAAGGGTCGTTTTCTTCCATGTACTTCCAGACGGCTTCGAGGCGATCTTGCTCGGAAAGTATTTTAGCTTCAAACCCATAAAGAAGATCATCCTTGCTGGTGCTTGAGATCATGCCGTACTGTGATGACTCATAGGTCTTTTGCCGAGGGTGGACACCTTTGGGATACGCTCTGATGGCTTCAAGTCGCAGCGGTACCCCGATTCCATTCTGTGAGACGAGGTATTCTGCCCATGCCTCCACGCGGTGGTGGATTCCCCATGATTCATCGTAGTAGAAGTGCATCACCGTTGCCAAGTCGTAGGCTGCCCGCGCCACAATCTCGATTCCTCGGTTGATTGTACCAGGTTGCCAAAGGATTTCGTCGAAGAATATGGAGACGATGTTGATTACGGCTTTCTTAGCCCAGTGATGATGAGGGACTCTAGAGAAATGGTGTCCGATGATCATTTCAATGGCCTGATCGAGGCTTTGTAGTCTCTCTACCCGTTCGTCATACGTCTCCTCTCTCTCGCTTTCCTGTTCCTGTTTTGCATTATTCGGGAGGTCGAGGGTGTCGTACGGCTGCTGAAGAGAAAGTGACGCCTCATCCCAGAGAAAATCGGGAGCGAGTGCCTCTCCAACTTGCCCCTCTCGATCAAGAAGGACAGTATCTTCCTGACCAAATTCCAGATCAACGTCTCCGTTGTTAGCTGCTTGGGTGCCTCGGAGAATGCTAAGAATGCCAATGTTGCCAGTACTTGCTGCACGAAGAGCAACAGCCTTCGCATCGTGACCATTCAAGTTGAGCAAAGTGACATCTGCGCCCCTCGCCAGCAGGCTACGCAAAATGCTGTAACGGTTCAACTTGGCAGCGATATGGACGGCTGTATTGCCCCGCAAGTCAGTCGCGTTGATCGGCGAACCTCCGTCGAGAAGCCCGTTGACAATGTCGGCAGATCCGCTAATAACCGCACAATGCAGCGGCGTCCCGTACACATTGTTCCTTAGATCCAATATCGGCGATTTCTTTAGAAGACCCTCTGTAATTGCACAAGCGCCCATGAGACAAACTCTGTGGAGGGGCGAAAGCCCTTCCTTATCGGTGTGGTCAATGTTTACTCCCTTTTCTAGAAGCAAATCGCAGTTGGCCGAAGACGCGCAGTAATGGAGGGGCGCTCGACCCCATTTATCCTCTACATGAAGTAGCCCGGGACGGCTCTCTAGGATCCATTTGGTGGCGAGACCTGAGGCTCCAGTGACTGCGAGATGGAGCACAGTTCTTCCCAGATGGTCTCGAGACGGCGTTGTGGAGGGCCGAAGATCTCCAGTTTGCGACTCGATGAGCTTGGGAATCAAGAGGGCGTCAGCAACATTCCGTCTTGCCGCTAGTTGACAAGCAAAGTGGAGGGGATAGGTGAAAATGTTGGGGTCGTGCGGCGAGCGAAGCGGTGTGCTTGCAAGTCCAGGTTCAGCTCGCAGAAGAGCTGCAACAACATCCGCATCCTGCAAGTCAATGGCCTCCATAATGGCTGTCCTCCCATCTGAATCATGCATATTCAGACATTGTTTGTCTTTGATGAGCATGATCGTCTCGTCTAGCCTACTCGCGCGACTGGAACCGTGCATGGCAAGCCGCTCGAGGGGCGTGGAGAGACCAAGAACGCAACCGAGTGGTCCGAGGCCTTCCCACTTCTGAGACTCAGAACTTCGCATGAGTTCACGCAAGATATCGCTGCAATGATACTTTGCCGCGACATGGAAGGCCATCCATTGGGAGCGTGAGTCTTCTGGTGGGTATTGAGACTCATTGTAGACATAGGCGAACGGGTCTGCACCCAAGGCGAGGAGCGCCTTGACCGCTGGGAGACTGTTAACTGATTCGCTGAAAGCGAGTGGAGTTCCCAGCAGTTGGACAGGCCATTGTAGATGGGCCTCGCGGATTGTGCTTGCGGGGACATTGACAAGGCGCCGTGTCAGCTCTCCGGAAAGCCTTTCGGTAATGTCCTCAAGAGCGGCTGATTCCCAAATCATGAACAGCCAATGAAATGGACCACATCCGTCAGAAGTGCAAGAAGCTAAGGAAGCTCCTCCAGACAGGAGATCCACGGCGGCTGCTGGATCCCTATCAAAAAATGCCTTGGCCAGGGCGGGCATTTCCTCCGCCAAGGCTCCTTGCGCTCGCAACAACCCCGAGAGTTTTGTGACATACGATTCGTTTCTCGGCTCCGTGACCGCGTCTGTCTCGGAATCAAATAGATCACCAAAGACTGCGGCAATAGGGTGACTTTCAGAGCGAGCGGTCTTCGCAAATTTGTGTGACTCTTGTAAGTTTCGCTCTGTTCCAAACCCCAAGTAGTAGCAAAGCGCAATTTGCCAGCTTATCGGGCCTTTATCCTTCGCTTGCTTGCTGGAATGACTCTGTTGAAATCCTCTAAATATTTGCTGCTGGTGATCCCAAAGAACCTCCTTGCCTGTGTCTATACGAAACATCTTGAGAAGGGTTAGATGTTTGCTCCATATTTATAGCCAAGATTTAGATTAGGATAGGTGTTTTTATCTCTCCTCGAGGGCAGGGACGAGACGGACAACGACAGAGCCGATAAGGCCAATAGGGACTACAAGAACGATAGAGACGACAAGGACGACAGAGACAATAAGAATGAGGGCAGGGACGATGAGCGATAGTCAAGATGATATGGACAACGATGGGGAAGACAAGAAGAACGGAGACAATAGAACTGATGGTTGGCCACTGAGGACAAACTTCGCCCACACAGGCCGAAGCAGCCCCTCAGATAGTCCAGGCCAGGAATGCTTACCTCGTATGTAGGAGTAGGGATGTCAAAGTGTAGTGCTAAGTCAGCTTCGAGGCCACGTAGATCTCCGGCACTAGATCAATAATAATTATCAGCTGCAATCCCTGCTCGTATTGATGGCTAGAAGACTCACGTCCACCTGGTGTAGAGCGGCAGATCCCGTACACTTGAAGCTCGTTTCGATGGATCTGCCTGGATAGTCCTGTGGAGAACGATTCGGATGAACATGGCGGTACCCAGTTGTTTGGCAGGCATGCATTGCTTGGCGTAATCAAGGAGTTTCAATGGATCAATAGGATTTTGATCCTCCTTATCGACATGTCCATGTCCGTGATGTGCGAGCCAACTTGTGTATTCCTGGCCGCCCAGGCAGGCTTCCCACACCATAAGGCCAAAAGCCCAAATATCGCATTTCGACAGGTCTTTGCGTTCTATTGGGAAAAGATCCTGAGTCTTGACTTCAGGAGCGTTGTAGCTGTGATGACCATAAGCCAGAGACCAAAGCATGGCCTTATGAAACTTACAGAAGAGTGCCCCCGTACTTGATGATCTCGTTACTTTGGCTACCTGCCTTGTCATTCAAGATGATTGCGTGACCAAAGTCTGTTATCTTCGCAAGAGCCTTGGTTGGGCGATCCCAGGATGGGAAGACCAGTGCATTATCCAACTTGATATCGCCATGGACTATGCCACATGTATGCAGCGCCGACAAGGCCGAAGATACGTCGCCAAGCAGAATCTCTACGTCGGCAAGACGAGGCTTGGTTGTTTTGATGTACTCTCTTAGTGTCCCAAGTGATGCGTATTCGACGACGAGATAGGGTATGACTGATGCTCCGCGAAGGCTCCATCCATATCCAAGGGCTAATGGGAGGTTAGGGTGAGCTCTCAAGGGAGGATGTCTCATAATCTGAGCCTCGAAAATGACCGAGCCTAGTCTACAACGGAATAGCTTTTCATCAGATACATCGTCGATCTTAAGCTGCTTGACGGCGACCACGCATTCCTTGACCGCACATCTCTTCACGACGTAAGTCTCGCCTTCGCCTAGCACTTCCTCCTGAGTGAGCTCCTCTTGCGGGTATCGTCGTATGTTAAGTGCGCTGACGACCCTGAGAACATCATCGAGACCGTGAGCATTTTGGCGCTGTTGTTCAGAAAAGATTGCGCAGGTTAAACTGGATGTCGAAGTCCGCGACAAGAATGTGTTCCAGCTTAGCGTCGTGCCAACCGATTTTGTTAGGTGGTCCATGGCCTCTGATTAGTATCTGATCGTCTCCCTCGCCGCTGTCTTTGTCTTCGTCGTTGTTATTGTCGTCGTCGCCGTCATAATCGATGACCTCGCGACAATACCCCATGTACTGGCGAAAAATTGTTTGATTCGGTTTCTCTCATGAGGAGATTGCACTAATGATTTTAGGCAGCACTGAGACAGCGCAGAAGCTGCGCACGGAGAAGGTCCATGACTGTTCTGAACAGCAATCTGATTGGGTGACCCGAGGTAAGCAGGCCTAGTCAGCAAAGAAGGTCGTCGAAGGGCGCCGGCACTAGTGAGAAAGCGCCGATGAACATGCCTTCAGCCGATTGACCAAAGGATGATTGAATCTTGCCCAGAAAATTACAACGGATTACTGTGAGTATCAGATAGGTTCAAGTTTGGGTGCAGGCGTTCACATAGATGCAGGAAGCCCGCGGCGTACCGGTGTCAGGCAGCCTGATTTAAGGCTGACACACTACCACACACTTTCAGCTTGGCGGTGACAACAATTATTAGCCATTCAGGCTGTGTTCGCCTCAAAATCTGCCTTGCTGTGCATGAAAGCCGCATCGGAGCCTTATGCATGGGCAGGCGCAGCTCCATTCCGTGCCGCGGTGTTTCCGAAGCGCCTTCATTCGTCCAGTCCAGCGAGCCGAGTGATGACATATCAGATCATACGGGCGTCAATCTGATTGCTTCTATAATATAAACGGATTGCTAGATTAAGAACTCGTAGCGACGCATCTAGTTTCGAGTTTGAAGAGAGGCTGTGCTGACGATTTGATTCCATTTTCGCGTGAAGGCCAAAATCTCAACTGAAAGTAAAGATACTTTTATGGGCTGAAGTGGATACAGGATTCCATCTGCATTTGAATCAATCTGTTATGACAATCAAAGTAGTTTAGGTAATAGCAGGAGCCTCGGCACTCAGCCTACTATCTCAAGCTCGTTCGCAAAGCTCCGGCCTCCATGGCAGGCCTGAATCTCATGTTCAAAAATTTCGAGTCACATATGACTGGAGTGCCGAGGGTCTTTAAATATTGCCTTTCGCTTCCATCTTGATTGCAAATTGAAAAATGCGGGGACTTATCAACAACGGCCGTAGATGTACTGCTATTGCAGAAACTGATGGGTGTCTGAACTATGCGTTAATACCACCTTGGATTCTCATCCACAAAGGTGAGAGAACCCTGAACCATATATGTATATCTGGCCCTGCGACTTCAAGTCATTCGGGTCGTTGGATTTGCCTTCAGCCTTCTTGGGAAACCCTTCAGGCACCCTGCGATGGAAACACTAATCTTTACTCGAAAAAGGCCCCGAAAGGTTTTCAGGCAGCTTGATGGTCTACTCTATTTGATCTTTATCCTTTCAAATCATCCTTTAAACTACATGTACATTGCCATTCTATTCGGCATATTCTTTCGTTCTTCCGCGACGTTGATATAAAACTTCAAACTATTCCTCATTATCCCCACTTTTGAACCTCATAGTACGTGAGAAGAAACGACAACTCCTAATTCAAACACCACAATAGCATCTGAAGGAATATCAAAATCTCCTCAGCAAAGATGGCCGGAGGGAGTTTCTCTTCCTTTTCCCTTCTCCCGGGCGAGATTCGAGATCAGATCTGGGACTTCTCAACACGTCCCATCGGCGCCCGCGGAGTCCAATACTTCTCAGCTTTGGACGCGTGGGACAACACCAGACCGATTCCAGAAGCATTCAAACGACACACCATCAGCCGGACCTCAGAGAATCAGAATCAAATTCTTGCAGCCCCCTTAGTAGGAAACGAGGCATCTTGCCCGTCCTGGTACGACGCCAACCGGTCGACCTATGCTATCGATGCAGGACTTTGGACCGCATGCAAAGAGTCGCGCGCGGCAATGTATCGACGCTACAGGCAGGAGGAATGGCTCGGCCTCCGTAAAAGACGACGCAAGCATTACGACAACAATCAGATAGATCTTTAAGCTTCGATAATATCTAGCGACTCGAAAAATGAGCAAATGCCGGCAACCTTCAATGCTGAGTCCGACGGGAGAACCCAATCTTTGACTATCTTACCCAGGTACGATCTCATACATCTCGCACCGCAGGAAGCCCGAGCGGATTGGAACGCATTACTTCGATACATGCCTTTTTCATCTCCGGAGTTCGGCTTCGATGGGATCCGCCACGTCGTCATGGACTTTGATCCATCGTGGAGCCTTAAGGAGCTTGGAAGATATTGGTTGGGGTGGGAGCGCAGTATGAACTTTGAAGAGCACACTGAAGAAGACGAATTGGACATCCTTCGCTGGGAGATGTACGACTGTTTGGCCAAAGCCACACGAGAAATGTACTATTTCTCGAACCCGACGGTATGGCTTGTAGATCATCGTCTTCGGCGCAAGAGCACCGTTGTCGACGAACACATGACGGAAATGGTTTTCGGGCGCGACTTCGGATCGTGGCACAAGGAGCAGCTGGTCTTTCATGCGGCAGGTTGCAGGTACTACGCCATGCCTGAGCATTATGCCTCTCAATTTTGTGGCTACGACGCGGAAGATGATCCCGGTTGCGACGATGATGTGTTTAGCTTCGTGAGTAAGCTGGAAGACATGGGCGCTCGACAGGAGGCTTTGGAGAACGGGGGCGATGACGATGGGTCCGACGACGAGAAGGAATATTATGCGACGACCCTAAGAATTTTGGTATGTGAAAGGGATCATACCTAAGTTTTGGTTTTCAGGCATGGATAACTACAGAGCCATAGCTATCTTGGAGACTCTTTTTGGTCCTTGGTAATAGTATTCATTATCGACGTCAATGCTTTTCCCATCTCATCGATCACTACCCACAACCTCTTCAGCTTCGTGTCGTTTTCTTTCGGAATCCAAAACTTTTAGACATAGCTCATTGAGACAATGGCGAATTGTGTTTACTTTTCAATTTGGTTCTTGACTCACGACTTGAGCACGGCGGTAGCAAATGGTCCGCCTGAGAAAACTTCAAGAATGATAAGTTTCGAGTTCTAGCCCTGAATTATTCAGGTGATCACCCAACAGCTCAACCTCAGGGAGTCTGCGGCTGTCCATCCAAGGGCCTGGAGTAATTCAAGACAGAAGCCCTCGAGAATCTCTTCCCAACCCTCGCCTCATACACAAAGACCGGCGACCCCAGAACCTCAACCTCCCCTCCGACTTCCTCGGAATGTCTCTCCTCTCCAACAGAGCTCCCAGAGGACTCGTTGCTTGAAATCGATAATGAAAGTCTACGTCCCCTGAAACTTGCCTCGTCATCCCTCACGCTCTTCCGAAGAGGCACAGTCGAGATGGGCGACATGAGAAGGCTGGACGGGCATCTGGGGCGCTCTGCTACCACAGTCGAATCGGGTCGTGGTTCGGGGATGATTCCTGTATCAAGACGACGGAGACGGTACTCCTACGTAAGTCAGCAAAGTCCCCAACCAAGCTTTGGAAATCCTCACCTCAAGTCCATCCCTCTCACTCTTCTTCTCCGCCCTCACCACATCCCACGTCCTCGCCATCAAAACTCCAACCCTAACCAACCCCGGCACCACAAACACGCCCACCAAAACCACCGCATGAACCCCCAGCACCACCAACCCAAGCACATTCCTCGTCCTCACCTCCGCAACAACCCCCGGCAGAAATCCCACAAACATCCCCAAAACAACCAACCGCGCCGCGCTCAGCGCCCCGCCAACCCTCAAAACCGGCACGCACCGCCACGTGAAGCCCATCACAAGCAGCTGCACAACCTCGCACGCCGCCAGCACAAGCACCTGCACCACCCCGGCCCCCGGCATCTGCAGCCCGCCAACCGCCGCGCCGCGGACGAACATGAGCGCGAATATGGCCATGGCGTACCGGTCCTGGCTGCGCGACAACCTGCTGGGTGTCTGCGGCGTCTTGGACGCGTCGAGGAGGAGGTAACCCATGTTCCGCGGCGAGTTCTGCGTCACGCCCCACCACAGCGCGGCGACCAGCAGGGCCACGACGAGGGCTGTGAGCACGGTGTGGTAGAGGGGCAGGAAGGCTGCGGCCGAGAGTTGGTAGGTTGACCACGCGGCCACGGGGGTGAGGAAGTAGGTGAGGAAAACGCGGAGGACGGTCCAGACGGTGCCGCGCAGGCCGGGGTCGGTGGTGCCGCGGAGGCGGGCGGCGCGGGCGCGGTTGCTGGGGCGGCGGAGGGCGAGCTGGGCGGCAGCGGCGGCGGCGAGGAGGAGGAGGCCGACGAGGGTGAGCGTGTTGGCCCAGCTGCGGGGCGTGACGGGGGCGCCGAGGATTTGGGTCATGAGCTCGAGGCCTGGGGACGCGGTGAGGGTGCCGTTGACTTCGTAGAGGGCGTCTTTGAGGCCGAAGTAGGGGGTCGCGGAGTGGACGGGCCCGCGGGGGATCATGAGGGTGGACCAGCTTGAGGGGGCGGCGAGGGGACGGAGGCAGGAGGGGTAGGGGATTGTGAGGGCGGTGGAGAGGAAGAGGAATTGGATTGTGGTGAGGCATTGGGAGATGAGGGTGAGGTGGGTTGGGGAGGGGGAGGAGATGAAGGGGCCGTTGAAGGTTGGCGAGGGGGTTTGGAGGGGGAGGAGTTCGTGCCAGAGAGCGAGGAGGAGGGTTAGGAGGAGAGTAGCCGGGGAAAGGTATTGGGCGATGGATTTGGCGATTGGGGAGAGGGCGGGAGTTATCGTGGCGGTTACGCAGGTGAATGGCTGCGAGAAGGATGATAGGTGTAGGTTGAGGTCCCAACTGTCGATGAGAGAAGGCGGATGGAGGAGGAATGTCATTTGGTGGCGGATGAGGGCGACATCGTGGTTCGGGTAGTTCGTTTCGTGGCAACTGGTCGTGAGATTGTGTACCGTGTAGCTCTTGGAGGCCGTGAGGCTGGTTATCTCGACAGTCGCCAGTACGTTTGAAGACGGGACAAGATCGCAAGTTTTGACGCCAGGATAGCTTCCCGTGAGGTTCAAGTGGAGTTTCGTGACGGCATCAGAGTTATCGAGGGCGGCTCTGAGACCTTCAGGCGTGAGTCGAGTGTTCGACGAGGCTGCCACCTCCGAAGAAATGGCATCGTAGCAATCTTGAAACTGGACGTAGGCGGCACTTGTTGTTGAGGCGAGTGTATTCAGTAGCAGGAGAGTCGATCCTACGCGTGGTGATGTCGGTACTCGCATAGTGAGCGTCTGGTCATTCAAAGTTGTCTTTCGCAAATTCCAAAGAAACGAGTCGAGAGGTTTCAAAGACTCGGGGAGCATTGTGATTTTTCATAATGACACAGATACGAAGGGGTGTTGTTGGCAGGTCCACTTATGATCCCCGGCCTTCTCGTATCCAGTGGATCGTGGGGGCCGGTACGAGATCCCAAGCCAACAAGCACATGAAAATAGAGTGAATATCCACGTGGAAGGGGTCTCCAGCCAAGCGCTAACCGAGTTTTACGTCTCTTTCGGAGTCTTAGTCCGTTTGCGCTGCTGGCCTATTGTCGTAGTCTTCTCAACGCGTACCAGTACGTCGTCAGAGGAACGAATCAAGAGTGTTGCTAGCCGGCCATTGTCCTCAATCTTGGTTGCAGTGCACTCACTACATCGATTAGCTGCGTGGTGTCTCCGTAGGATATACGGATTACATACGTGCGCGGTAGACACTGCCCATCTAGCGGAACTCCAAATCAAAACATCTCGCGGGATTTTTTCTGCAACTCGTCGAATATACTGACGGACAAATTTGTAATTTGACGCTTTCTCCGGTCCGGAAGTCAATGCACCTTCTGCGACCGGCTCCGGCGGCGACGCTAGACCCGCAACGGGGGCGGCCAGGACCGACAGCTACGGGGCCGCCACAAACTCTCCTTTGACGACGTGCTGACTTTGCACCTGCTCAACCGGCAAATTCGTGCCGATTGGATGCTAGGTAGGCTAGTGTCCGTCTCATTTCAAGTACACAGCGCCTAAGCTGGCCTTGTCTGTAGTCAGCTGAATATTCTTGATGCGAAATGCAGATCAAGTGGTTGGCTGCAAAGAATAGGCCTTGGAATGTGCAAGGGCGGGGTTAGATTGCATCATCCGCGATGTCAGAACCGCTACACTCCGGGTCACAGGCCTGCGAATAGGCAAAACCTACAGAGAGACGATGGCGAAGTTGACCACGAATAAACTCATGTATTAGCGCACGAAGACGCGTGTCTGATTATAGATCAGAGACTAGATAGGTATCAAGATGGCGAGACTCTACAAAAACATAGATTCGAATAAAGCCTCAGATTTGCAACACCAAACATCCCCCTTTATGGCTCGAATGACCGAGCTGTTGCAGATTCACATGCCGCTTAAAAGACCTTGTCAAGCCACTGTCTCCACTTGGGCCAGGTGGCAACCTTGGCGCGGTAGGCGTGAATCTCATCCCAGTCGTGGTCGCGGCGGCCAGTGTCGAGGTCGATCTGGGAAAGCTTGAGGAAGCCCTGGCGCTTCCAAAGGTAACCGCAGGCCCAAAAGAAGAGGACAACGGGCAGGGCAAGGTAGGCCTTGAAGAAGTCCTCAGCGGTGGCCAGGTCGGCGCTGCCGGGGGGCGCGATGGCGACGTAGAACTGAGCGAGAAGCGAGATGAAGATCAGGAAGAGACCCAGCCAAGAACCGGCAGTTCCGCCGATAGCACGGAAGGGAAGCTCGTCGAGAGTGTGGCCTTGTGCCTCCCAGGCAGCGCGGAAGCGAATGTGAGCGGCGCAGATGGATCCCCAGGTGAAGAGGGCAGCCAGACCGGAAAGAGACAGAAGCCAGTCAAAGACAACGCCACCGGAGGAAGCCAGGCGGACGTAGGCAAGGCCACCAAAGGCAAGGTTGAGGATAACGGAGTAAAGAGGACGGCCAGATCGGTCGATGTAAGAGAAGATCTTAGGGGCGTATCCCTGCTGGGCAAGGGCGGTAAGGGTACGGGAACCACCGTAGACGCAGGAGACGCCGATAGAAACGACGGAAACAAGAATGACGACGTTCATGAAGCTGTCGTATCCCTTAAGTCCAGCATCGAGAGGAGCCAAGACGAAAGGGGAGACACCATCGGCATAGGGGTTGGCGGAGTTTAGAAGACGTTCGTCGGTGGAGCTGACGAGGAGGCCGACGAAGGTAAGACCCAGAACGTAGAAGCTAGAACACGTTAACGATGAGCTTGGGGTATCAGCTGAAGTGTGAGGCTTACATAGTGATACGCCAGAAGACCTGCTTGATGGCACCCGGGAGAGCCTTGGCAGGGTTGCTGGACTCAGCAGCAGCCAGACCGACGAGCTCGGTACCAGAGAAGGCAAAAGCAGCAGTAACGAAGACGGAGCAGAAACCGCGGAAGCCGTTCTGGAAAGCACCAGGATCCCTCCAGAGGCGGTCACCCCAGAATTCGTCGTACTTTCCTCCCTCAGGGCCACCGCCGCAGATGAGAACGAGGGCAACGATCATGAAAATGACGGTGGCGATCAGCTTGAAAGTAGAAGAGATGAACTCCTCCTCAGCGAAGCCCAGGGTGCCGAAGACGTTGATGAATATGATAAATAGCCAAAAGATCGTAATCCATACTGCTGTACTGATTTCTTTGTTCCAATATTGTATCGTAAATGAGCAGACCGTTAGTTCGAGTGGTAATACGATGACCCATTGAAAGACCTGCGGCGTGTTAATTGAGATGCGCGAGGCGGTAGGACGGATGCGACATACGTAATTCCAGCCCATGGCAAAACCCCAGGAAGGATCAAGGAAGCGGATAGAGTACGTGTAGAAACCACCAGAGACAGGGTACATGACAGCGAGTTCACCGAGAGCGTAGACGACGTTGAAGATCATGACACCAGCAATCAAGAAGCAGATGAGGACAGAGCCAGGGCCACCCTTGGTCAGGGCGCTACCGGAACCGACGAAGAAACCAGCACCGATGGAACCACCGATGGCAATCATCTGCAAGTGACGAGGCTTCATGGAGCGATCAAGCTCGACCTCACCGGTACCATAATCGCCTGCAGAGATAGAGTTAGCATGCGGTCGCAAGTGTGAGGCACGGGTGATGCGGGGTCGCGACAGCCAACGTCGCCATGAGGGGAAACCTACGGCGCTGGAAACTCTTGAAGTTGAGACCATTTCGGGTCAGGAAGTCGTCCTCGCGGAAGTTCTCAGGAACATGGCCGGTACCGGTGGCGGCCTTGGTAGTGGTGCCCTTCTCGGAGTCGTAGGGGTAATTAGGCGGCGTAACGCCGACATCAGCCTCGTCCTTGGACATTGTGAAGCTGTCGCCAATGGCTCAAGGTTAAGGGAAGAGACCGAGAAAGGAGGTATAAACAGTTGCACGCTGGCGCTTGTCGTGACTGGAGCCCTGGTCGACGACAGAGGGTGTTACTCTGCGAGGTGCTACAAGAGTATGAGGGGCAGGAGGGACGAGAGAGGGGAAAGAGAGGTGAGAGACGACCGACGCGGGAGGCCGTTTATTAAAGAATCGAGGCAAGCGTTGACGGGAGGAGCAGAGCCAGCAACGGGAGCGACATGTGCAGGCGCAAGGTGCAGACAGGGAAGGGGACCCGATGCCAGGACAGACCAGGCCACGCCAAACATAGGAAAGTGAGGGTAGGGATACGGCAGGCAGGCAGGAGGACCTGGAAGGTAAGGCAGGCAGGAAGGACGGGGGAAGGAACGTCCTCTCGCTCGAGGAAGGGACCAACCAACGTCCTCACCGAAGGGTTGACTTGATCCAACTGATGGGAAGCTGCACCGTCGACCAGGGTCCCCGGAGTGGTGAGCCCTCTTCCCTACCTAGGTTCCTTCCTTCCGCGACCCTACTTGAGGTACGCTCAAGGGCACCTTGCCCATCTCATGTTAGCTTCTGCTGGTTTTTATTTCTTCTTCGCTTCCAGGATGGGTTCCTCCCCGGGAAATCACCCATGATAGCTGCGCCGCTAACGCGCAGAAAGCAACAGGACTCGACGCGCACTCGAACGAATCAGTGATGTCTTGGCGGCGATTGGACCGGTCGGTCAGCCGTGATAGCGGCGGCGCCAGAGCAGGGAGGGACGGGGGCGAGGGCAGTTGACTTTGATCGTACATGGGAGATGGCGCAGATGGACGCTCGGGAACGGTGGAAGCTGTATGGAAGGCGAAAAAGAAGATCAACATGCCCCTTCCATGGGACGTCGTCACCTCGAACGGTGGTGCAGTGTCACTTGACGCGATTGACAGGCAGGCCTGTGGATGCCGTCGAGGCAGACTGCTGGGGAGGGGATGTAAGACCAGCCGATCAGGCTGGAAGATGAATTCGAGTACAGGCACTGTCGAGCAAACAGACAGACGTGCTCTTCCCCCATCGGTTCGCATCCAAATTGCCGGGCACGAGGTGGTCGCCTTCACGGCCAGAGCATCCCATCCGAGGCATCACGGCGGCTTGGCAAGAGCTAGGTCTTCGTAGCAAGCTTTCTGAGAGCAGAAGGTGGAGAGCCGAGACGGTTTTTGCCAAGTGATTAGGACTGACGGTGGTCCTTATTGGTAGTTCTTGGCTTGATGGGAGTTGATGATTGGGCCGAGGCGGGGAGAAAGAGCGATATTTGTATCCGTACCTACCTTGCCTTCCTCAGGTAGGTAGGGTGGTGAACCGTGCCTGAGCCCGTGCTTGTGGGCATTTTGTAGCGGCGCGGGGGTGGGACGGCGCACTGGACCTCGACTAGACCTGGGCCTACCTAAATGGACGTTTCGACGGCTGGTAGGGGTCGCAGACGACGCGCTATCAGACGAGTTGAGTGCGATCCATGACACTGGGAAATGGGCCCGGGCCAGAGATGGGGCATTTGTCTTGGCCTTGAAGATAGGGACGGTAGAGGCGGATGCTTGCGTAAGACGAGATGGAAGAGACAACTGCAACAACCCGACTGCAAAATGTTTCGGTCAAGGTGAGGGGGACACTGTAGAGGTGAGAATGGCAGTTGGCCGGTTCATGTGTTCCTTCTTCACAATTGAGCATGGAAATGGCTGCACCAACGGATGAACCTGCTCCTGCTCCACTCCCACCTGCCCGCCTGTTCGCACCCTGACGCAGCTCCTTACGAAATGGAATATCGATGCTGCATGCCTGCCTCACCTTAAAAATAAGGTACCTACCTAAGGCATCTTTCTTTCTGGGTGACATCCAGTCGTTTCTCTCTCCCACAAAGAACTCCCCTCATCGTTCGGTCTGGCTGACATTGTACGTCCCCCTTCCCAATGCACACACACACACGTACAGCCGTACGCAACCCCTT